TTTATCATTTGGTTGATTTTGGTCGTGAAGTCAGGTTGGTGGGGTATGCTAGCATTTTATTATTCGACGTTATTGCGTTTTCTAGTGTTGCTTGTTTCCCTTGTTCCATGATCTTTTGTGCATTGTTTTCTTCTCTTATTTTGTTGTTCGTTCTCGGGACTTTGGCATACGAGAATTGTTGGTGCATATGCTTCATAGCTTCTGCTGTATTGTTGTATGTTTGTATCTTTCTCCTTTTTTGCAGTTGGGGAAATTCCGTGTCCAGGACTGCGTTGTTGTTAAATACTTCGAAACGGTTTCCTAGTATATTTTTATATTTTGTTTGTGCCTCTTTGATAGTGAGGTTTTTTAGGGTGATTATCCATTTAATTGCGTAGGCCTTGATCCTTGCTGGGCAGTCTTTTTTTTGTAGCTTGATGGTTCCCTTTGCAATTTACGCATTGTTTTTTGCTGCACTTTATAATGTCGTGGGTAATTCCGTATTTTGCGCAGATCGAGTTTAGCTGCTTGCAATGCCGTGCGAAATGGTTCTACCTGAGAAACGGTAGTATTCTGCAAATGCTACAAATGGTTCACCTTTATTGTGGTATAACCGAACGTGACTTCCCTCGATACTTCCAGACCGTCACACACTATTTTAACTCATTCCCTCCTCTGTCCTCTTCCGTAATATCAGCTGGTATGTCGAATATTATGCCCATTTTAGATAGAAAGTGGGCAAAAATCTTCGTTCGTATGGCTCGCTTGTTTTTTCACAGAATTCGTTTGCTGCTTTCCCGTTTTTAAATGTGATTTTACATCTTCCAAATCCTATTTTTGTGATTTCCAGAATATCCTCCGTTTAGTTACCCTGTGCTCTTTCTTTATCGTTTTTGTTTTTTGTCTAGGTACACAATATAGGGTCCCTTATGGATATCGTTGTACTTATAGTTGTCGTGGTCTTTCGTGCCTGCACGTTTGGTGTATTGCCTGCGAATTTTTTTTTGTTGCTCTTGTTCGGCTGTTGCTTCGGCTCCTTATGTTGTTATTGGTTCGAGGTGCATTTTCTTTGTCCTTCACTTTATTTTAACTCTTTTAATTTGTATCTGTTTATTTGTAGTGTGTCCTTTTTTTATTTACTTTGTTGTTGATATATATTTTGTTTTTTTTTGAGTTTAGTGGTAGTTGCACGTCTGTTCACTTTCACTGTTCACTCGCGAATTTTACTTAAATTTTTCTAAATGAAAGGAACATTTTTTTAACAATTAACAAAATTTATAATTATTTTTTTTTTCGAAAAAAATTAAATGGAATTTTATTTTCTAACAATTGAAAAGAAGAAAAAACGTCTTTTTCGAAAAAATTCATTTAATTTAATTTTTAAAATTTCCCTTTCCTTTAAGAAAATTTTAAATTGTTTTTGAGTTTTTAGATTTTTCATTATTCCTTTCCTCTAAATTACATTTTAACACATTACACGACATTCTATTGAAGCACTCGTGCATGCGCCAATTTGTTTTTGGGTGAGACAATCCTTTTTTTCTCAACCTTAGTGTATTTGCATGGTGTCACATGGAAGATGTAGATTCCTTACATTTTATTAATTTTGTTTGTTTGAAAACTACCATCACAACTCCAGACAGATACAGGAAGTTTTATAAAAAAAAAAAAATATTTACCCATAATTGTCTCGAAGCATAATTTTGTAGTCATCGACCTTTGTTTTGACATAATCGTAGATGCGTATGTTGTTTTTGTTGTTATAGGAAGCATTCCTTGGTTAATTGGCGAAAACTGCCGAATTACATAAATCCAGTTCCGTACCGATTTCGCTTACTGGCACTTTGTTAGATTCTAATTGATCAAGCTCACTTCCTACTTATACCTTTGTAACATCCAGAAGGAAACGCCGGTAACTCTATAAAGTGTAAAACAAAAGCAGAAGACGAATTAGTCGTGTCCGTCTCTACAAACGCGAGTTGGTCGCTCAGTTTTTGAGATATCGATCTGAAATTTTGCACAAGTCATTTACTCCAAAGAAGCTGTTCATTTGTTGGAATCACTGATAGCGGACTACTGTAGCTCATAGCTGTCATACAAACAGAACGATGAAAATTAAGTTAGTGTACGGAAAGTTTTTATTTGTAAAGGGTAGAATACCTCCGATAGAACTGAAGTAAAGGTTTTTTCTTTTTTTTTAAATAAATTTGAATCGCCTTCAAACAAAAATATTAGCATATTGAATATTATTTTTTCATGTTTATTTTCACTTAAATTTTGCAATATACTATAATCATAACAACGGTACATTCGCAAGGATACTGCAATCAGTTCAATTACTTAATCGTCTTTGCCCATATTATGTGCTGATGAGAAAATAAAAGTATTTTCAGCTTGAAAACATACATACAACAACGCTACACTGTCGCATTAATTGAAAAGTAATTTTTAAGCATCGTATGTGACTTTCAAGCGATCCTTTTATGATTAGTAGTATTAAAGATTTTTGCAGATCACAATTTTTAATAAAATTTTAGTTATTTATTTTTCATAAACACTGTAAATTTGTTGTTCGAATTTTCAATTTGAATTTTCAATTTGAAAACCCAAACAAGCAGTATTTCACCAATTCACATATACGTACTTAGAATTCTTCCATTTTACACGATTGCTTAATTTAGGGCTTAAACTCGCAACACTTATAATACACACACAACCAAACACACAAACACTTTTACATACAAATTAGCTAAAGTTCACATCGAAATTTTGTGTAGAAGAGTGGTCTACAGACGATAATTTCGAATTGCGAAAGGAAAAATTGCAAATTATACATACATAAATGCATACACAGGTATATATAATTATACATAATTAGCGTATATAACGATTGTTTGCCTTAGGGAAGAATTGAGTGCTACACTTAAAAAAGAAAAAAAAAAAAACGAATATAGCATAGAATCATAGACTTGTAACAGTTTTAAGCAAATGCATGCAAAGACTATAGATTTAGTTTGTTTCAAAACAAAAAAAAAAAATAAAAATAAAAAGTGACTTCAGCGAACATTTTACTAACTCTGTACGCTTTTTAAACGCTTTTTGGTAAATTATGACTTTTTTGAATGCAATTAACTGAAAGCTCTTGAAACTGTTCCAGTCAAGTTTTATATAAAATTATACCAAACATAAATTATGGTAAATCCCAAGCTAAAATCAAAAAATTAAAAAATCGATTGTTGTATATTTTTCAGCACAACAGTAAATTTAAGTCAAAAAAATTAAAAAGAAACGATATTTTCAAAAACTTATTTAAGTTAAGTTTTAGTATTGCTCAAAATAATATTTTCCAAGAAAAATTTCTATCGTATGCAAATTGCAAAGCTGTAACACTTCTTGTTCTCAAACCATATATTATATAAGTACATACATACATACATGTATATAAATTTCTCTACTTCGAAAACTCTACGAAAAGTTTTAGATACTTCTTTTGTATGTCTTTTTGCGAAAAAAAAAATACTTTGCTCAAATTTCAGGGCTACACGTACTGCAGCGAGCATTCATGTATACTATATGTACATTCAAACAAATTACAAATATACGTATTCAAATGTATTTATATTGAAAATTAAAAACTGTTTATAAAAAAAAATTTAAAATCAAGTGTCTCATGCACTTTATATATAAAAATGTATGTATATGAAGCAAATATTTAAATAAATATTAATGGTATTACCAATTTTGAGAATGTAATGTAATCACTTCTTGAAATTCATCAATTTAAACAGCTGTGAATTTTGAAATAATATAAAGTAACTAATTTATCCAGATTAAATTGTAATTTTTGGCGTTGTACAACATTATTGCTAATTTATTCAAATAAAAATTAAAAATCTGAAGTTGAACTCAAAATGCAGTATTTTCATTGATTATACAAAGACGCGCACAATTCCAAAATTAAAACGTTAATAGTTATAAATTCCAATCTTTTCACCTTACAGCCAAATACAATGGCCGACTACTTCGAGGACATGGGTCATGAACCCACAGGTGGCGATGGTCCTAATGATTTTGCCAAACACTACAAACGTCTACAAGTTTTGGCCATTATGAACGGCATTGATATGGAAATCGAGGTGCCCGAGGCATCTAAGCGCGCTATCGCTGCGCTGCCCGAGCATGTGATTGTCGAGGCGGATGTGAAGCAGGAGCTGGAATGTGCCGTTTGCAAGCAGCCGGCGGAGATCGATGAGAAATATAAAGTTCTGCCATGCAAGCATGAGTTTCACGAGGAATGTGTGTTGCTGTGGTTGAAAAAGGTAATTAAACGTAGTGGCGGGAAGGGTGAGCGCATGCTCAGTTTTTTTTTATGCGTTAATATTATTTTCTTATTTACGTTGTTTACCTTCTTCTAGGCAAATTCGTGCCCAATGTGCCGCTATGAGTTGGAAACAGATGACCCAGTTTACGAGGAGTTGCGCGAATTTCGCCAAGACGAGTCTAACCGTCGCGAACGTCAAAATTATATGATGGATTCGATGTTTTCTTGAATAAATCATGAGAAATTTTTTAATAGACGATGGGTTAAGGTTGTGGTGGTGGGGAATGGTATTAACTGCAATTTTTTCGGAAATGCATAAATAAATTTTATTTGAATACCAGAAATGCTCGTCTATCTTTTCCTTATGTATACATATGTATCTGTATATTACATCAATAAAATGTCAAATCAGAAGACAAGTAAAAGAGTGTTAATTTGGTGTATTACTTTATTATATATAAAGATATATATAAATATATATGTATATATAATCAGTTGTTTTTACTTTTTTACTAACGCACAATTTAGTTTGACATAACTATGTAAATTTATCACTACAAATTTTCTTGTGATGAATGCAACCCTGTGTACCAAAAGCGTTCCACATATTCCGATGCATTCCCAATAAGAAAGCAATTCTTCGCATTTTTGTTTTTGCTCGCATATTCGTGTTTTCATTATTTGTTTTCGTACACGCCATTTAATAAATACCGTTTGTTTTTAGAGTTTTATAGTTTCCTTTTCTTATTAAAAAGTTAAGTGCATATTGAATTTAATGTAGGAAAATGTTTCCGATTCATGCAGAATCAAGGAAAACTATTACGCGTGAAAAGTCGGGCGCCATGACAGTAAGCACCGTTGATAAAATGCAAAGTTTGAATCAGCCGGCAAAATTGTTTGATAATAAATTTGTGGTCACCGTGTTAAGGAATACGCGGTGTTGCCCCAAATGCCGGAGTGAATATTCAACGAATTATGATCTCCGTATGGGCGGTAAGTTGCGATGACAGATTTCCGCGAGTGCTAATTTATTGGTTCAAATGTCTGAAATGCTTTATAATGTATAATGTGTTTCTTTAATTTTGTGGATTTGCAGAACAAGTTATAAGGATATGGGTGCAAATGGCACAAAGGGTAGGCTATAAATATAAACGAACTGTAATTACAGAATGAAATGTGCACAGCGAAAAGTTATGTACCGATATACATATTTAAATTAATATATGCAAATTTGGACTAGTAAATAAGCGTAGTATCTTCCCACCCTATTTAGGTAGAAAGCAACAAGTATTTTTTAGTTCTTATTGGTGTACATCACAACCTCTAACATCCATTGATCTCAAATATAAGCTGTACCGCCAAAATTAAGGTGCAGTGTTCTTTCGTTTGAAGGGTTTATATAATTTACATATCGGGAGAATTGTTTGTTTGGTGACATGGAATTTGAATGTTATAAAAACAAAATTATTGAATTTTTAATAAATTCTTCACAATATTGTACTCTGGACTCTTGTTTATTATACGCAATTAACATACTCAATTAATCCAAATTGAAATATTGCTATATACCAGTCACAGATATTTATAAATGTGTAATTGGAACTATAATACAAGTTGAAAAATAGTGTTGCATAGTTTTAGGCTGTGTGATTTCAAGTTGCTATTAACTAAATTTTGATAATTTTTGAGGATCATATGAATTATATTAATATTAATTAATATTTAGAACGTTTGTTATTATAGGAGCAATATTGCTTAAATATACAGATTAAGTATTACTCCACTGAAAGATTCCTGGCTAAGCTTTACGAGAATCTAAGAACTAAACGTATATTCCACAAAAAAATGTATTTGCTGATTCATTCCATAAGTTTTTAAAATGAGTACAGTTGTTTTCCAAAACCAATTATATGCAAATCCGTAAGTCAAAGTTTAACTTAGACAGTCTGCCTTGTTCTACAACTTTTTCTATCTGAACAAATTTCACTCGGACTAGTGCCCTTAAACGCGGAAGTTGAATCCATAAAAAAATGTTCATTGATTGGTATAACCTTCAAGTAAACTTTGATCTGTATAATTCAAAAAGTCAATGCGTTTCGCAGCTATTTGTTTACGTTGGCGAAATAGTTGACTGATGATTTTTACCAAGGAAAATGTAATTTAACGAGTTTGCGGGTTTTGTGCGCTCTAATGGCATAGCGGCTATGGAATGATTGAAATGTGAATGTCGTGAAGTCATTAAAAATTTGCCTCTTAAAGGTCGGCCATTCACCTCTGATAATGGCGATTATAGAAACAGTGATTGAAAATCATTGTGTTGACATCAGAGAAATCTAGAGGATTTCAATATCTAGTATAGATCTACTCGACTTATTTTGATTAGTGTTTTGGATATGAAGCGCTTTCGCTAGACTCGTACCAAAATATTTGATTTTTGTTTGCAAAAATGACTTCGTTTAAAGCTCTTAAAAAATATGCTGCACAACGTAGCTGAGAACCCTTCATTGATGAAACACATAATGATTACGGGTGACGAGACGTGGGTTTATGGCGATGGAATTCTCCGACAACCTGGCGAGTGGCGTTCTAAAAATGAGCCCTAACGAAAAAACAAAATTCGCTGAAGGCGCTGAAGGCTATCCCAACCGAGACTTATAGCAAGTGTATAATGGAAACCTAATATGAGTGTTGACTAATAAAGATATTTGTATTAAAATATGTTAAAAAGGACTTTTTTTTGTGAGGCGGGTCCAATTTGATGTAATGGTATTAAACGATGACGTTGGTAAGAATCTTCTTCTATATGAATTTTTTTTTACTTTTCTAACTGGTTTAAAATACAAAATAGGTCATCACAACTGTTAGGTCTAATTTTATCCTGTCAAGAATTACCAACTCGACAGCATCCCTAAAATTTTAAAAAGTTACTAATTTTCGAGCAGTTAACGACAGATCGAAGGCTAGATTTTTCAGGTGTCAGATCAAAAAAGGGTGTCAGCGTTATGCAGGATTTATACATATTTGGTAAGAATTGGAAAAACAAGAAATTGTGAATAGCGAAGCAATTGAAGGAAAATTTTTTTGTTGTGGTAGCGACACAAAACATTCCTGAAGCGATTTCGAGGAATGGTGCCGAATTGATGGTTCTTGGCCGGATGAAAATCTGGTACGTTCCGGTTGTATAGACACGACCGTCATGGAAACGGGGCAAAGGTTTTTCGAAGAAACTGCCACATTCAGCAACTAATCAGCAGAAAACTACCTTGAACATGGGACTTATAAGTATTAAGTTTGGCAGAAAATTCTAAATACTAAGAAGAAAACGTCGGAGTCCCTATAAAATGTATATAAAAAATTTCTGCGATTAAGCCATACCCCTCATTTTGTCTTGAGTAATCTTTCAACTATTGAGACATCGACCTGAAAGTGGTATTATAACTTCGATGCAGCCGAATTTAACGTTTTATTTTTAATTAGGTTGGGCTCGTAACATTAAAAAATATAAAATATTAATTTTTCGTTAGTTTAATTTTCGTTTAATGGTTCCTATAAAACTTAATTTCAGATTTGCACGTCAAAAGCAATCGACCGTTTCTACTCAGCTGTGGACATAATATGTGCGAAAACTGCATTTATCAAAATCACCAGAATCTCGTTTGTAGCGTTTGCCAAATACCAATTGTCATAGAGAAACGTAACAATGCATCCAATTCCCCGAATAGCCAGCAGAAACAACAACGGCACTACACTCAACCACGCCATGAAAACTTCAATGTACGCGATTACTTCTACATGAATTTCTTTTTAATGGGCGAACTTAATCACCTGCGTTTCTATCGTCGCGAAAGTTCGGCAAATAACACTCTAATGATATCCGATCGTGGTCCACTATCGCCAACATCCAGTGGTAATCGTACGCTAGTTTCTGGCACACATATACCATCGCAACGTTTTGTCGAGCGCTGCACAGAATGTGAGCTGGAGCTGGCTGTGGGCTTGTGTCGCCAATGTACCGTGCACTATTGCCGCGTCTGCTATGATTCCATACACATGTACGGTAAGGCACTAAAACGACATTCGTTAGTGACGCTCGACAAGGATCGTCAAGTTGTCAAGGAGGCACAATTACCGCGTCCCGCTTACTGCCAACAGCACAGACGCGTCAAGGATCGCTATTGTCACACGTGTCAATTGATTTGTTGTTACGTGTGTGTGGAAAGGATGCATAAAACGCACCATGGCATGTTATTGGTGAACGAGGTGGGTGGCAGTTTTATAAATTTTTTTCTTACAATTTTTTTTCTTTTTGTAATATTATTTATTTAATTTATTATTTTTTTGTTTTTGCTCGTTTATAGAATGAAGGTTTGCAGGATGAAATTGGCACTATTTTGGAATCGGTGAAAATGTCACGAGAGAATCTGCGTAAATCACAGAAGGTAGGTGAATTAGCGCATAATTATACTAAAAAAAAAAAAATATTAATTGGTTTAAGCGATTAGGCCATTATAGGATTTATCAAAAATCTCGAATATAAATAAATATTTTAGTTTAATGTTCGTTTTGAAGACCTAAAAACATTATTCAACTGGTAGAATCGTGAAAAAAAGTTGCCGATGCCATTCACTGTGTAGCGAAACGTTTGGGTTAGTCCGCATCACCGCCTAAAACTATACACTTATACCTTATTATTTTCTAAACATTGCACTTCGTCGATACTCGAAAACGATAGCGAATATTGACTTCAAATTTTCACTGATTTCAGAAGAGCATTATTTTTTAGTGAATCATATATTCAATAATTTATGGTATTTTTCTCTTTATACTCTGAAAAATTGGCTCTTAGATTCCCCAAAAAATTGTCTCCAAGTATGAGCTCTTTACATCAATAGGGAGGTTCTCTGCTTTTCAGTTTCATAATTTTCCATATTATGAAACTAGAAATATATACATATTTCAGTATATACTATATGGTCCAAGCTTTGGAAATGGAAACACCCAATTTGTTGTAATTGCATAAATTGTTTCCATCTGAGCCTAAGTAATAGTGCGTACTGTTGCACTATCTCCTTGAGAAATGTATTAGAAATAGTTGGAAAGCTTCAACGTAACTACTCGAACTGGACCGTCACTTACTGAGTGTGTTCTTATGATTTTTCCAAGAGGCCATTTTGTGGGATGATTAATAATTTGAGTTTGAATAGTAATTACCCTCACCATTTCGTCAGATAATTTTTTTCTTTCAACTGCTCTTTTTAAGTAGATCTTCATATTTCCCACTTCAGTTTCAAGTTTCTTTCGATGTAAATCTTTTTCTTCCTCTGTGTGGATTCAACCAAAACAGTTGGTTTTTCCTCAGTTATTACAAATTTAGGACTATTTTCCCATGTTTCTTCTCCAGTTTTATATTCTTGATATTTTGCCAGAATCAATTTCTGTTGCATCGTTTAACGAATTAGTAAAATCTTCCTTTTGCATTTCTACTTTTGTTGTACGTGTGACGTGTGTTTCACCACTCCGTTTCATACCATTGAGAATCGGATTATAATCATAAGGTGAGGCGAGTTTCGCCAATATTTGTTTTTGTATAGATGATTGCTGCTGCTGTTGGTTATCTTCAAGTCCCTGAAGCGGCATATTTCCACCGTCAAGTATAAATTTGTAATAGCTGTAGATGTTGCGTCATTTACAGTTAAAGTGATTATTGTCGATGCTTGACTAAACAAACTCTGATGTTTCTGTACGAAAGTAGTCTTAACTCTAAACGAAACGTCCGTTGTAGTTGCACCAAAACTACTTGAATTGGGTGCTTTGAAAGTCCACAAAACTGTTTGGTTTTGTCTGCGTGCCGTAGGTAGAGGTACTGGCTTGATCAAAAATTCCACTACGAAATATTTTATCATCTGATGTTGGAGCTTGTTTGCCAAAGACCCCGGCAGTTGGTCGTCAAAACGGTCAGTAATTGCTTCGCATATGTTAGCTTGTAGACCTTTTCGATTTGCCTTGCAATCTTTTAAATAAAATTTTTCACTGAATTTGCCTTTACACTCATTCATGGCAATAATAAAATGTTGTTTTGTATTCACTTTGTTTGTACCTCTGAACTGTTTGTGCATAACTGCGCGCCAGTACCCTACGTGATCCCGTTATCATAACCACCTCCACCTTGCAGACATGTTTTTAAATAGCTCAGATTTTGGAGTCACTAATATCCTTATTATTTTGGCCATACTCCTCGAAGAGCTCTTTAAATGGTTGGCAATCTCTGAATTCACCTGAGAATTTCTATAATTCCATCTTTGGTAATTCCAATTTTTCTACTATTTTTTTAAGTTAATTTATTTTTTGCTTTATTAACACTCGCAATATGTCACTTACTTCAAAAGACACTTCTTCTGTTCCAATACTAATATACGACATGCTGTATTTCAGTGTCAATTCGTCGATATTTTTCGATAATTCGCTTCATAGCACTTCAATGTCCTCTAATTCGAAATCTTTATGGCACCGTGCAGAAATTTGCCTTTGCAGCACCTTTTCGCGCTAAGTCCGTAGTGTTCGACATGTTTATTATATAGGTGACGATAAGCATATTTATTTTTTTTTCAAAAAACTGTTTTTATTGCAACGGTAACTCAAGTGGTCGATGAGCGGCATCCCGTTGTAGTCCGGTGTGCAGTGTTCTGACATGTCTGTAGTTTCCTCGTCTATATATCACCGCATCCAGGCAACCATATTGATGCGCGACTCTGTACTTTTGCAATAATCGCGATCGTGTGAGAAGTGAAGAAGCACAGGCTGTCGAATTTCACACCTAAAATCTTAGGGTTATTGACAGTCGGAATGTTAATGCTATCGACTGCAATATTAAGGTCTAGTCTATACTTCTTCAGGGTAAAACATGATAGAAGTTCTGTCGGAGTTTCGAGATGTGGAAGTTAAACAGCAATATGAAGAGGCCACCACCCTGTGGAACTCTCTTTTTAATTCTTCTCAATTTAGAGTTTTTATCTCAAAACAGTACAGTACGTATGATTGTCGAGTGCTCAGGTAGTTCATAGTCCATCTCCTCAGTTCCCACAACAGCTGGTTCTACGTTAGCGGAATCAACCCAGATTTTATCCGGCCATGGACTGTACTTTCGAAGATCTAAACTCGATAAGTTTTTCCTTACTCTTTCTTTCATAGCGGTTTGCTGTCCAAGGTTCGCCAACGTATTTTGAGATAGAGTTCTGTCATCATAATTATTATGTATTATATTCTAAGCAATTTTTTCTAAATTTATTTATTCTTTATTTATTTAACCTTATTTATCATATTTACATTTCGTTTAAATTATGCGTCGTCTAAAATACTAGAAACTAAATTTTCAGTTTTTGCATTTAGATAGCTTAGTTACAAAAACAAGCAGTTAATGAATATGGCAAGTAACATATATAGTCATTAACGATCGTCAATTGACTTGAGTTGCTAACCAATTTGCTAAGAAATACTTAAAATTAACATTACTATTGCATTTGTTGCAATAAAGGCGAAATATAAATAATACCATGAAAGAAAAAATATCCAAATGTCGCATAAATATCTCATTCAGCTACTGTTTCACAATTTAATTCCCAAATGGCAAACGTTTGTGCTCCACCGCGAAATGCTTACAAGCTAGAACTCCGTCTTTTTATTATACCCAATTAAACGGACTCCATTTTGTTGTGTTGTCGTTAACATGAAACACATCTCAAACACACTGTACCCTCACAACTTCGCTCGTCTATCACACAACACATTTACCGCACATCCTTCGAACTCTCGGCGCCATAGTACATTTTCGCTCCCAGCTGACCTGCTGCGCCTTCGGCCTTAATTTCGATTACTTCCACTTTTTCCACATCGATGTTGGCCGTTTGCCGCACCGGCTTCGGTGATGACTGCACTTGTGCTTGATTTCCCTCTTGCAGCAGCTGTGTTTGTGCGGTTGTCTGAGCCGTCTCCGCTGCCGGCGTTCTGCTCGTCGCTTCGTCGGCATTTCGTAGGTTATGCTGCACTGCCAATGCATCATTTGCATCATCATCGTAGTCGGGTCCTTGTGTGGAGGATACCACAATTGGTTTCAGACTGAAGGCAGGCGTGTCGTCCAACTTACTCGAAGTCGCTGCCGCCGACACGGTCGGTATTGTGGAGCTTTCGAATGTATCAACGCTGCCACGCTTCGCTATATCATCGACTTCGTCGTCGATCAGTAGATTGCGCTCGGAGCTTTGTTCACTCACGTGTGCATTGATCGGGCCAAGATTATTGTGTGGATTCAAGGTTCGTGGTAGCGTGTGCAGGTCTGCCACTGTGGTTACTTCGGTATCGTCAACGTCGTCGGTGTCATCATCGACACTGTCATCATGTACCCTTGTGCCATGGTCTGCATCAGCGGTGTCACTGACTTCATCGCTTTCAATATGGTTGCTTGTTTCTGTGTCTGCGGTTGCTGCAACGTCGGCGATTTCCGCTTTTTCTACTTTCTCCTTTTCAATACGCATTTTTTCTTCCATCTCCTGGAATTTCATTGCTAAATACCTGCGGATGGAGTTTATAAATTAAGAAATACAGACTGTTAGATTGATATACTGCGTTTGGTGACTTGTTGGAAAAAACAAAGGCTATAGAATATAATAAGCTTACTTGTCGACAAGCGGTCCACTGTAGTCTTCGGGGAACTTTGGCGTAAATGGTAGAATATATTTGTAGAGACGCTCATTCAGCACATAAAGCTGTGCGGTTGTGGAGCACTTCACATTGAACCACCAGTCGCAGGTGAGGGCGATCTAGAAAGACATAACCGTAAAGTGTAAAGTAAAAAAAATTAAAAATATATGAAAGAGAAAAA